GCAAGTGCACGCACGCGCCCTATAGCAAAAACCTCTCCAAAAAAGACAAAAAGAATTATTTATTTAATTTTCTTTATCATTATTATTTTTTATTTGCTACAGGGCACATGTGTTCTCCAGAAAAAGAGAGAGGGAAAGTGAGAAAGCAAGCCACCAGGTCCAGGACTCGAACTCTGGACAGCCGTGTGGGAGTCCAGCACCTTAACCACCACAACACCTGCTGGTCCCTAGAGAAACACGCTTTGGTAGGTCAGCTCACCTGACCACTGTGCACCCCGGAAACAGTGCCATGAAGCCAGACTGATCTGGGCACCAGGAGGGTTCAGCAAGGCAAGCTGACCCAAACAGCACAGCTGCTCCGGAACTATGCTCCTAGGATCACCTCCAGCCCGACCCTTTGCCGACTGTAACACCATCTCTCAATTGCATAGCACTTGCTGAATGCTATGGATGAAGCACTTTGCCCATATTATTTCATTACACCCTTATATCAATGCTATACAATAAAGATAAGAAACCAATGCTCTTCCATCAAGCATCTAGGCCTCACAAGAGATATGCATCAGAGCCAGGCTTAAGCCCATTCTCATGCCAAGGTTACTGATCTTGCCATTAAACCACGGCCACCATTTAGGGCCTAGATTTGCACCAGAAAATTTGCTTATAAAGAAGCTCCTCTGGGCCAGCAAGTGGTGTGGTGGTTAAGTCACTGGATTCCCACAGGGCTGACTGCAGTTCGCGTCCCAGACCCAGTGGCTTGAAAATCATTCTAGGAGCCTGTGTGTGCATGCCCAAACTCCTAAGAGAACGGACTGCAGCATGGTCATTCCCTCCTCGGGAGTGATTTCTCACTTCCCCCCACCTCTTCTCTGGCGAGCACGTGCCTTCCACATGGCAAACATTTAATTAATTAAATTAAATAAATAGAAGGCCCTCATCTAGGGCCAGCTCTGTGGTGCAGGGATAACGCTCAAAAGAACCTGGATCGCACACAGTGACTGTGTTTCAAACTCCTGGTCCAGTCAGGCTGAAACACAGTGGGTATGCATGCAAGTGCCCAAGATCCTATGACTTTCGGATTGGAGGGGAGGTCCTGGTATGACCATCCCTGTGGAGGGTGCTCATCCTTCTCTCTCTCATCCTCACATACGTACACACACAAAAAGAAAAAAAATTTTTTTTGAGAGTTTTTTTGCTATAGGGCGTGTGCACTCACCAGAAAGAGAGAGAGATACAAAAAGCGAGAAATCACCTCCCAGGGGGGATGGCCACACCACAATCCCTTCTCCTCCATTCTCCTCTCAGGATCTTGGAAACGCACGTACACATGCCCGGCGTGAGTTTAAGCCACCGGGTCCGGAACTTGAACTGCGGTCAACTACATGGGAGTCCAGCGACATAGCCATTACTGTAACTGCTGGTCCCAGGCAGTTATTAATAGTACTCAGGAGCAAAGGTTCTGATCCCCTTGCTCATGCTAACTGAAATGACTTCTCCGAGAGGGTGTAATTATTAGTGTTGCTAGCATGCCCAGCTTGACTGCTGGAGCCGAACAGAGAAGGCATAACCTCTGCAGGTATGGCGAGCTCAGAGCCCTGGTTACAGGCGCCCATGGCTTGCTGAGTTCCTGTGCCACAGAGTGGGGCCTGTGACAATCTGGACTGCCACCCAGACAGCCCCAGATCAAAGCCTCTGGCTTTGATGGGAGCGCAGGTTCCCAGAGCCCTCCCCACTGCAATGAGCAGTCTTCTGGTTAGGAGGCGTGCTGAGTTCAGGGCAGAGGGAAGCAAAGCCTGGGCTGGAGCAGCAGTAGCAGAAAGGCGAAAGGGCACAGATCCCAGCCCCCCAGCAGAGGCAGGATCCAGGTGACCTGGCAACTGCCGGGGTGTGCAGGTCAAAGGCAGAGAGGAAACAAGATGACTCGGAGGTCCCAAGCCTGGGTGAGTGCAAGGACAGAGATGGCCAGTTACAGAAAGGGAGCTCGGGGAAGGCATCGAGGTCGATTACGTCAGCCTTAGCTCGTTTAGCTGAGATACTGGCACAACTTCTAGACAGAGGTTACAGCGAGCAGGTAGAAATTCCAAGCTGTGGGAAGAGGACAAAGCTAGAAAAAAGATGTGGTAGCCATCTGTCACGGGGTAATGCCGTGAACGGATGGGCTTTCCAAGAAAGAGATTTTTAAAAAAAGACTAGGGAAAACCAGAGATTATAGGACTGAAAATTAGAAGCCAGGGTGCAAGGATATGCGCGAGAGAAAGGCAGGGACTGCGGGGGAACTGTCTCCTCTATTACACACATGTGCACACGCACACGCACGCACACTCCCACAATCTTAGGGTAGACCTACTATGTGACAGCCCTAGAAATGGAGAAATGACAGCTCACTTTCTTAACCCTATTAAAAAAGGGGAGGGGTGGCAGGTGGTGCAGTTAAGGTGCTGGACTTCCACAAGGCCAACCACAGTTTGTGTCTCGGATCTGGCGGCTTGCTTTTTATTTTTTTGGAGAGGTTTTTGTTACAGGGCACATGTGCTCTCCAGAAAGACAGAGAAACAGAAAGCGAGAAATCACCCCCTAGGGGGAATGTCCACGCCGAAATCCGTTCTCCAGTCTCCTCTTGGGATCTTGGGCACACACGCACATGCGCCCGGCGTGAGTTTAAGCCACCGGGTCCGGGACTTGAACCGCAGTTGACTACATGGGAGTCCAGCGACATAGCCATTACGCTAACTGCTGGTCCCACAACTTGCTTTTTCACTTTTCCTTCTCTCTGTCTCTGTCTGGTCAAACAAAAAATAATAACAATAATAATAATAATAACAAATAAAATAAAATAAATAATTCTTTTAAAAAATAAAATGAAGCACTTTCCTTGAAGCCTAGGATTCAAACCTTTGGATAAGCCTCTAGCCTGTACGTGAAAGAGGCAGGAGGAATTCAAACGAGCCAGCCAACAAAGACAACGTGAGCTCCTTCCACCGGCCTCTCCCCTCGCAGAGCCCACACCAAGCCCTCTGTTCTGACATCACTCCTGAGAACAGACAGGATAGCTCCTCGGTTTCTGAGGGATCGAGACCTCCATGACTAGACGGCAGCTCCTTAACACCTGGGGCTCAGCTAGAGCATGGTGGGTGCATACTCAGCTCTCATCTCTGCCCACCGGGCCTCAGCTGCCCTAGACCTGCCTCTTCACAGCAGGACCACACTGGGGTCAGCAGCCGCACTCAGGAAGCCACTGCCTGGCCTCACGGAGCCTGAACTGTGAAGCCTGATCATCAAGCCCAGCCACCTGGGGCTCAGAGCCCTCGCCATTCTGAACCCACCCCTCGCAGGACAGGGACAAATCAGAGATGTTTATCTTCATACCGTTCATGGAGAAACTGAAGCAGAGCAGGGAAGACTGGCAGTGAAAACAGAGAACTGGAATCTTGGCTGGTAACCCCTCACTAGGTGGCAGTAGCTCCCAAACACTGCCCCATGAAGCATAATAAGGGATGAAAATACCTTTATGTAACAAGAGCTGACATTTACAGAATAGGCGATCTGAGAGGCTTTCAATCCGGATTACCTCATCCAGTTCTCATAACAACTTGACTGCTGCTTTACGGCATCTCCGCGACGCTAAAAGCTAAGAAGCCCTAGACACTGTGTCCTTAACTATGATGTTTTCATTGCCTTTCAATTAATCTGCCTTTTCTTTTTTTGAGAGAGAGAGAGATTTTTGCTACAGGATGTGTGTGCTTGCCAGAAAGTTAGAGACAGAGAGACAGAAAGTGAGAAATCACCTCCCGGGGGGATGGCCATGCCGCCATCCCTTCTCCTCCATTCTCCTCTCGGGATTCTGTGCATGCATGTACATGCTCCCAGTGTGAGTTTCAAGCTGCCAGGTCCAGGACTTGAACCACGGTCGACTACATAGGAGTCCAGTGCCCCAAACACTATGCTACCTGCTGGCCCCTTAATTTGTACTTTTAAAAATACAATATATACTTAAAACCTGAAATAATCTACAACTCTTTCCTTCCAAGAAGTCATCATTGTTTGCTGAAAATTCAGAGATCAGCAACTTGTTTTGTGAAGGAACAGACAGTGAGTATTCTCAGCTTCTGGGGCCACCCAGTCCCTGTTGCAAGCACTCAGTTCTCCCACCGTAGTATGAAAGCACCCTAAAACAGTGGGCCAATGAATGCATGGCTGTCCCAATAAATCTTTATTTACAAAAATGAGCAGTAGGCCCGATTTGGCCTGGGACCATAGATTGCCAAGACTTCAGTCCTCATGTTTGGCATTGCAAGAGCTTGGTGAAGCAAGATTAAAAGAAGCAAAGCAACTAGAACGCACTATTTGCCCAAGGTCACCCAGGCAATTAGAACTGAGTCAGAATTAATGCCAGGCCCTCTAGTCCTCTCTGTCTCACTTTACATTTCAGCATAAAGGCACGGAGAATATCAAACCCCCAAATCCTGAAAGTATGGCTTAGCGGGACAAGTACTAAGACAGTTGCTGGGGAATAGGAGTCTAGGCTCTTCTGCCAACATTAGCATGTGACATTCAGAGCTCAGCTGTCCTCTGTAGGGACCCAATCTCCCCGCCCATAAAATGGGGGGGTTGGGGGCATGCCTCGATCTTGATGGCATCTGAGGTTTCGGGGCTGTGACACTGACCAGCTCTGCTCTCTGGCTGCCCGCCCACCCAACACTCACTTGACAGCAGTGGTGAGGCGCAGGGGTCTGACGCCGGGCGTGGCAAAGCGCAGAGTGTTCATGTAAGCCACATGCTGTAGCGCATGGTTGAAGGTCTCCACATCATCCCCCTCCAGGGTGAGCAGGGACTGCGAGGGGTTCACGTGGACCTGGGCCCCAGACACAGACACAGCTGAGAGCGGAACTAAGAGGCAGGAGGATAGGAGCATAGGTGGAGAGGTGGGGCAAGGCGAGGGCCAGGGGGCATGCTAGGAAAGAGAGGGTGGGAGAAGGGCTATACCTTCATGCCTTTGCCCAGGCTCTCGAAATCTCTATAGTCCAGCCCCTCCCGACATGCATAGAGGCACTCGATGACCTCACGGCTCTCCAGGCGACCTGAGCGCACGCTGAAACCAGCCAGGTAGCCATGGAAGTAGTGGTGGATCGGCAAGGGGTCTCCTAGGGCAGGAACACAGGGGTAGGGTGGGTGGTGAGAGGATGGAAGAAGGACAGGGGGCTGAGAGAAAGGGGCAAGAGAGAGAGAAAGCATAGATGTGAGGAAGAAGCACAAAGTAGACATGTGGACGTGAAAGAAAGAAAGAACAGACATGAAAGGTAAGAGAGGTGAGGAAGAGAAGGGGCAGTGGTAGAAGGGAGAAGTGAGAGCAAAGGAGACAGATAAAGTAGGGGGTAGGGGTAGGGGGTGAGGGTGGGATGCAGATCACAACAACAGAAATAAGAAAAGCTTCCAGGAGGAGAAAAAGAAGGTAACTAGGACCAAAAAAAGGAAAGAGGAGAGACAGGAGGAAAAGGCTGAGGGTCCAATAGAGGCCATCTTTACAGTGACATGCAGGGGGCCAGGATGAATGTGTGTGAACTTCACAGGTGCCCAGTTCTTCCCCTCCTGCCATCTGACTCCTGCCACCTCTTTTGTGCTAAGTGGAAAGCCAGCAGAGACCTCTTCACTGCATTCCATAGGCAGCAAGGGATGCCCAAAGCCAGCAGAGACCTCTTCACTGCATTCCATAGGCAGCAAGGGATGCCCAGAATCCATCCAAACTACCGCTCCCAAGAGACCCTTCTTGCTATGTGTCTGGGAGGCTCTGCCCCCGTTGGCTGGGAAGTAGTAACTAGCCAGGTTAGATGGGATTTGAGGTACCAGAGGGTGCACCAAACAGGCAATGTGAGCTTTCTAGTCTCTGGTCTTACACGCAGGGTACCTTGTGTGGTGTCTGTACTGTTGTCTCCTCCTTTCTCTTTTTCTTTGTTCTTCTCCTCTGGGGACAAAAAATAAGTGACAGTGAGCTCAGGGTTGGGTGGACAGATCAGTCAAGAGGAATGAGATGTCTTCCTTGCCCATGTGGGACTTGCAACCCCTCAAATGAGTCCTAGCCTTTCTTTTGTCAAATCCCAATCTCTGATAAAGACAAACCCCCAATATGTTATTGAGAAAACACAAGGGATCTGGTGCAGACAGACACACATATACAAACAAGATCCCAAAAAGAAAAAAAAATTACAGAAATGCCTTAACAGTGGAAAGATTGATGACTCTCTGAAGGGTTAGTATCTTCCAGAAGGACAGTGGGCTATGAAAAATGATCATTACTATGATAGAACAAAATGGGAACTGGCTAAAGTTACAGAAAAAGATTCTGGGGACTCCCAGAAAGGAAATTTCTAGTCAAAGGTGATGATCTGATGATTGGATGAAAGTTAGGGAAGGCTCTGGTTTCCCACTAGGGATCTTTCAGAGTCCCTGTGCCCAACTACAGGGAGATGTATGGGGTAGGCTCAGCTAGCCCCAAAGTTGAGCTCTGTTGCCCCTCACCAGAGTACCCCAATCCTAAGACACTGGAGTCTTCATTGAGAGGTTCCAGGGACCTACCAGTCCAGCAGGCTCCAATCATGAGAGCTGGTTCTCTTCGGGGTGGGTGGATGAGGCCATTGTCGTGGATGAGGGCAGGGTCGAAGGAGATGCCATCAGCATAGAGTGTGACTGTGGGGAACTCGAGGTTCAGAGCATAGTGGTGCCACTCATCATCACAGACCTGTGGGAGTAGGGCAAGGGCAAGAACTCCTCAGTTTACTTCCCTTCAGGGAACTAGCCCCAGATGTTGCCCCATCTCCAGGGAGATGGGGCACAGGGAACTGGGAATTGCTGCCTAACCAGCTCAAAGAATAACACACTTGTCCACAATCCATCAGGCAACCAACCTACTACCTCAAATGCCACTGTTCAGGTAAACTAAAACTATAACCATTCCTGAGAGTAGTCACACTCCTGGCAGTTTCTAGCCCAACAGTAACCACAAAACAAACATTCCTTCTCTTTGCAGTTTCTCATGGGCTCGGCCAAGAAGGGAATGAAGAATGGTCAGAGGAAAGGGGAGTAGAGTTCTCTGCCTTATCAGCTTCCAAATGCTGGAGTTCATCAAGGCTCGGATTTAGATCCCCTTGCCTTTCCTCTCTATGTGCTCTTCCTGGGGATTACCCCATTTTTGCCCATGGGTCCAGATCCCATGTTTATGTGGATAACTCCAAAGTCTACAACTTCAGCCAAGGACTCTCTTCAGGATGCTAGGCTCTGTAAGATGGAAGTCTATACCCCTCCCCAACTCCCCGTTTTCTCTGAGCGGTATAAATCCACCTAGTTGCTCCAGCATATGGCCTAGGACATATTTAATCCTTCCCTTCCCCTTGTCCTCCATATCCAGTTCATCTGAAGGCACTCGATGCCTTGGGTTTCTGTGCACCTCCATGGCCACACCTCAGTCAAATCCTCAACCACTTGCCTGTGGACTGTCACAAATGTGACTTCCACTCCGATATCTCTTCAATCTTCCCCATAGTTGTAAGAGAATCTTCTTAGAATGTAAATCTGATTCTAATCATGACTGTTGTAAGTCCTTCAGAAAAGCCTTCCCATTTTTGATAGGATAAAATCCACACTCGGCCCAGCCGACAAAGCCCATTGTACATCTGGTTTGCTGCCCGTCTCTCCAGTCTCATCTCCGAGTGTCCCCTGGATCGCCGTACCTCAACCTTGCTGGCCTTCTCTCCATGCGTGATACACACAGAGCTCTTCCCTTCCTCGGGGACTTTGCATCTGCTCTCCCCTGTGCCTCTCTTCCCATGGCCAAGTACTTCCCACCCTCTGGGACTAAGCTTAGATTTCACCTTGCTCAGGCTTTCCCAGAACATCTGCTCTAAGGTGAGTTCCCATTTTCTCACTTTCACCCATTCTCTACTGCAGTCGCTTATTTGTTTCTTTCAGAGCCTTTATTATCATTTATAATTTTTATATGTCTATTTACTTTTTGCAAATCTATCTCCTTGGAATATGAGAATTGGGAATTGCTACCTAACCAGCTCAAATAACAACACCCTTGTCCACAATCTATCAGGCAACCAAGCTGTTACCTCAAATCCCACTACTCAGGTAAACCTTTAAAACTATAACCATTCCTGAGAGCAGTAACACTTACTCCTGGCCTGAGGCTGGTCTGGACAACATAACGAGACCTTGTCTCAAATAGAGCCAGGTGTGGTGTGCACCTGTATCCCCGCTGGGCGGCTAGGAAGAACTGCAATGTGGCAAGGCCTGGTCTTCATTTTTTAAAAATAAATAAATCTATCTCCTCACCTTACATGTAAGCTCTACGAGAACAAGATTTTGTTCTAGTTTACACTCCACTGTATCCTCAGAGCCCAGCAGCATGACAAAAAACTAGTATTTAACAGACTGTTTTAATAAATAAGGGTGAATTAAGGAGAAAAGCTAAGGGCCATGCTGCCAGGACTAAAACATGGAAGAGGGGCCGGCAGGTGGTGTGGTGGTTAGGCTCCGATTTAGGCACTGGACTCCCACAGGGCTGAGCACGTTCCGCATTCTGGCCCTGGCAGCTCGCTCGCTCGCTCTCTCTCTCTCTCTCTCCCTCTCTCCCCCCCTCCCCAGTCAAATTAAAATAAAATAAATGAATAAATAAATAAAATTAAATGTAAAAGTTCTTTTAAAAAAAAATGGAAGCGAGACCAAGAAGTGGCAAATGACAGACTGTCTCCTGCAAAGGGTGCCACAGACAGCAGAAGCTCTCGTAGGCAGAGCTCGGTTTCCCAGTCTGTGAGCTCCCTAGGGTTCCATGCTTCTTTCTCAATCCCCATCTCCTCTCTTAGATTAGATCCGAGCTTACGCAGCCACTCCACCAGGGCTTTCAAGAGAACTAGAAGGGGACAGAAGCACAGATTAATCTTCATGAGCCTTGTAGTCAGCTTGGAGGATGAAAAAAGAGGCTGTTCCTACTGGCTCAAGAAGGATTTTAACCTTTTTGGGGTGTTTTTGGTCTATTTTTATTTATCCCTCATAATTACGTAAGGACAATCATAGTGAGAATTGACACGTACAGTGTGTTTTCTGGTCTATAAAGGTCTATTACCAATACATCATTTAATCTGCCAATGGCCCTGGGATGTAGTATTCTTTTTATTCTTATTTCGTACGTTTAAAAATGACGTTTATACATATTAACCAAGATTTCATGGCTAGCAAGTTTCCCTGACAGAGCTCAGACCTAGTCTATGCATCTCAGAATTGCTTATTTTCTTGATTACAACACTAACTGCCCAGGAGTTTGCTAAGGTTCCAATACAAAAGAGAGGAGATAAAACAAGAGGAGAAAGACGGTTGGGTTTGGTGCTTGTAGAAATTTGCTGTTTCCTTTTAGTTCCTATCTTTTTGGGGTTTGGCCATAGGATGCGTGTGCTTGCTGGAGGCAGACAGAGAGGGAAAGCGAGAAATCACTCTCAAGAGAGCATGGCCACCCACAGTCCCTTCTCCTCCAATCTCCTCTTGGGATTTCGGACCCTCACGCACACATGCCTGGCATGATTTTCAAGCCGCCAGGTCTGGGACTCAGACCATGGTTGGCTATGTGGGAGTCCAGGGCCTTAACTACCACACCACCTGCTGACTCCTTCCTATTTCCTTTATTTTTGTTTTTGGTGGCGGGGAGAGGTTTTTGCTATAAGGTACGTGCGCTCGCCAGAAAGACAGAGAGAAACGGAGAGACAGAAAGTGAGAAATCACCCCCAGGGGGGATGGCCATGCCACAATCCCTTCTCCTCCATTCTCCTCTCGGGATCTTGGGCACACACACATGTACCCAGTGTGAGTTTAAGGCACCAGGTCTGGGACTCGAACCGTGAGAGTCCAGCAACATAGCCATTACGCCATCTGCTGGTCCCCCTATTTCCTTTTAATACAGAAGTACTTCCTGGAGGAGATGAGCCTTAGGAAAATAGAAGAAAACCTGGCAGTTGACTGCTCAGGGACTAAAGTGGACAGTGAAAGAAGGGCAGGGGGCAAATCGGAAAATGCCAACCCCTGCCCTTGAGTCCTCCTTCCCCAACCCTCCCCAGAGCCTGGCACCAACCTCACCTGCTCTAGCTTCCAGAGGAACTTGACTGGGCGGGCACTCTCAAGCAGGGGCCAGTAGAGGAAGGCAATTCTGCAGCCATGGACAGTCAGTGAGTAGTGAGAGAAGCCGTCCTCTGAAGGGAGAGGGTGAGACAGAGTCAGGCATAGGGCCCGAGGCAAGAGCAAGTCAGAGCAGCAGGAAGGAGCGAAGGCTGGCTGCTTTTACCCCTTCCCGTGTGCTCCTCACTCCCTCCTTTTCTGGTGTGCACTCTCTCACACACGCTAGCCCGAGTGATAGCGAGGGCGTCTCGGGCACTCTGGTTGGCTGCAGGGGACACTGGCCAGCCCACTCCCACCTGGCTCTTTACAAGCCCTTTGGCTAATACACACAGCACAGGTCAAGAGAGATGAGGTCAAGGAAGGGCTAGAAAGGAAGAGCGAGTCATGGCAGAGGCCTCCCGGAGGGGTGTGTCGCTGCAGTGAGGGATGATGGGGCCAATGAACCCTTAGGGTAGGAGGACGAGATAATGTTGGGAGAGAAAGCCTGGGCCACGCCATAACCCAGACTTTCCCACTGCAATGGAGGCGTCAAGGGGGTGGACATGGGCTGCCTACTACAGAGTGGGGTACAGGGGGGCTGAACGGCCACAAGGAGTCCCCTTGCGCTCAGAGCAGTAGGATCTCGGGATGTCACAGTGGGGAGGGATCACAGCAATTCAAAGATGTACTGGCATCTCTCCAGTAAAGAGAGGGAAGTGACCTGTCCACAGTCACACACCAGACAGGGACAGAGGAGGGACAAGACGCCGGTTCCCCACTCTCAGGCCAGGGCCCTGAGGGGAGGCTCACCATTCTGGACGGTGTTACACACGATGGTCTCCTCTTCCTTCTTGCCCTTGTTGGGAGTCACGCCATGCTTCATCCAGAAGGACAGGGTAAAGTGGTCACTGAGGCTGTCCTGGGGCCCCGAGCCCAGCCCGGCTGTGCCCCCAAGGGGCACCTGTACAGCCTGGGTGCCGTTGAACCAGTAGATCAGGCTGCTGTCCTGGCTGTAGTGCACTGAGAGCCCCGCGGTCCAGTTGGCACTGGGGCCAGGCATGGGCAGCAGGTCCACCTCCCCAGTAGCAGCACCTGTGGGCCCAGGAGGCACGAGCATCAGAGCTGAGAGGCAGTGGATGGGGAATGGGACAGAGGCAAGGAAAGGTGACTGGGAAAATTGTGTTCCCTCCAGGCCATCTCACCACCTCTGTGCCTTTCCAAAGACGAGAGAGGGATGGGCCTCCCCTCGGCCCAGCTCCTCCTCCTCCTATCCTAACCACCGTCCCATAATGGATCCAGGGACCGTCTGGGGCTACAGTTGTGCCTCTTTGGGCCACAGAGCTAACCACGTGCCACAGCCCCTGTGGGTACACACACCGGTGGAGGGCCAGAGGATGTAGGGCAGATTCCTAGGAAAGGGGCAGAGGCTGGGCGGGAAGGGACGGGCTGAGTGGAGGCACCACCTCCCCACACGCACCACAGAGTTTCCGCAGCGCCCGCTCTGAGTAGTTGTCACGGTCACAGCCCTTGGCCACGTGGCTGGTCTGTAGCTCTATAGTGGCCTGAATGTTCCAGAGCGGCTCGTCACAAGTCTCCAGGCGGATACCAGGGAACAAGGCCAAACTCCCAGCACCGGGTGCGTATTCGATCCTTTTGTTCCAGCCTGCAGGGGTGAGATGGAGAGGGCAATGGGGCCCCGCCAGGGCAGAGAGCTGCAAGCCTGCCCCTGCATATCGCCTAACCCCTAGCCTGGTGCTATGATCGTCAGAAGGAGGGACAGCGAGCGAGGTGCGAGACGGTTCCCAAGGTGGGGCACAGAGCTGAGCGCCTCACCTTGCCAGCTGGGTTTGCAGGTGGGCTTCACCTGGATCTCCACCTCGGCATCATCTGCCGCCCGCTTCTTCCCGCAGTCGTAGGCCGTCACCGTGAACTTGTAGAGCTTCTCGCCGCTGTACTGCAACTTCTCTGTGTTCTCGATGTTCCCTGGGAACATTGAGGGGGTGGCAGGGAGGGCAGACGGAGTCAGGAGAACCCGAGAAGGCCCAGCGGACCAAGGGGAGGGTTACTGAGCTCGCCAGGCAGCAGGGAGCTGGGCAGAAGGTGTGTGGGCCAGAAAGGCTCTGCATGGGGGAAGGAGGGTGAATGAGGGTCTAACGGGCAGATGTGGAGCACGCAGCCCCGAGTCGTCCTGAGGGGTGCAGGTACACAAGAGCTGGGGAGCCAGGCAGCCGGGCGGGGGGTAGCCTCACCGTCATTGTCGATGAGGAAGGGGGTGTTGGGCGTGAGGATCTCGTAGTAGCATATCTGGCTGTACTGGGGCGAGCAGTCTCCGTCGATGGCTTCCACCCGCAGGATGCGATCATACAGCTTCCCCTCCGTCACTGCTGCGCGGTACAGCCGCTCCACAAACACCGGGGCGAACTCGTTCACATCGTTGACCCGCACATGCACGGTGGCCCTACGTGCACCAGAGCAGGAGCGGGGGGAGGACGCGTCAGCCAGCCCAATACACTGAGAGGCCCGGGAGGGATGCAGATGGAGTCGGAGCCTGGGGCGTCCACATCATCGCCCCCATTGCAGGGCACCAGCCAGAGGTGGGCGGCCCAAGGGAGAGGACACAAGGACAAGGTGACTGATGTGAGAGATGGGAACGAGCCCCAGGGATACCCGGAGCTGATTTTGCCACCTTCGACATAGAATGCTATAGACGAGGAGTAAGACGGAAACTCCAGCAGGTCTCTCCTCACCGCAGCCAGATCCAGTGGGGTCACCAGGAAGAGGCAGAGTAAAAGCCAGATTGAAGCCAGCCATAAAAAAGGAAGGCCCTTGTACTAAAGCCACAAAGCGCCTGACATCTGAGTGCACGGTGAGCTGTGTGCTGCCTTCCAGGCACATGCGTGAACTGTGTGCGCGTGAGGGCCCTCCCTACTCACGCACCCATCAGGGCCAGCAGACCTGAGTCCAGGCCCTCCATGCCGAGCCCTGAGCCAGCCTCCCAGGGCCCAGAGGCAAGGATCCTATCTCCAAATGGGAACTGGAGTCATTTTATCCCTAGTGGCCCAGGAATCCTGACTGCCCACTTTTCTAGCTGAGAACAGATGGAGGTGCCCAGACCCCTGCCTCCTCCACGCCATAAACATGCACTGCCCACTCTCACCTGGAGCTGGGCGTGTGTGCCATGAGTTATGTGTGCGGTGGACACTGCAGGTGACTGGAGGGGGCAGCTGGAGGGAGCGTGGACATGTGCTGTATTCATCCTCTCCCTCCCCGCTCTCCTCCTCATCAAAACTCCACGGACAGAGCCCTTCTAGTGTGGCAAGCACTGCGGTGCCCGCTGTTTACACAAACCGTCTCCTCGGACCTTTGCAGCAGCCGGAGGGGTGGGCATCACCCTACCTCCATTGCACAGACAAGGCAAAGCTGGCCCAGAACCTAAGCCGCCCACGGTCCTGGGAGGCAGAGCCAGGGTCAAGCCCTACTGAGCTCCGTTTCTGTCACCTTGAATGAAGGCTCTAAGTCCTATGAACAGTGGGGTTTGGGGGTGGATTGTCGATGTGGGCATGGACAGAGGATGATGAGGGGCTTGGGTCAGGGAGGAGGGCCCTGCAGCAGGGGCAGGGACGGGGCCTCCTCACTTGTGAGACTTCTTGGTGTTGGCCCCGTCGGGGCCCTCGCCGCAGTCATAGGCCTGGATGGTGAAGGTGTGCTCCTTCTGGGCCTCGCAGTCCACTGGCTCCTTGGCCCGGATCAGCCCTTCCCCTGTTGCCTTGTCCAGGATCACAGCCTCAAAGGGCACCCCAGAGCCATGGAGCCGGAAGCCGCAGATCTCGCCTGGCCCAAGGAAGGGAAGAAGTGAGGTGCCGCTCCACCTGCTGAATCTCTCCCCCAACCCCCAGCCTCCCCAGCTAGGGCTGCAGCTCGGCCTCGCCACCCAAAACCCTTTAGTTATCAAACACACAAATCCAGTCCAAGCTGCTCTGAGCAGCAACCTCACAGCGCCACCAGGCCAGACACCTGGCAAAACCGTGACGTGTTCAGCCCCTGCCTGCCCGCTCCCTTTGCTCGGTCTCCAGTCTTCGGCGTAGCCCACTCCCCTCCTGGAGCCCACTTCTCGACTTTCTCAAGGCCTCCTCCCCACCTGCTCATTGCTCCCCAGGCCCAGGACCTCCTCTCTCTCCCTTGCCCTCTGCCTCCTCGCCCGCTCTCCTCTGTCCTAGCCTGCCTCTCATCCCCCAACTCTAATCACCTGCGTAGCGCAGGGGGGCATCCTTGTCCAGAGCGAAGAGCGGAGGGGTCAGCAGGGCGGGGTTGTCATTCTCCAT